TATATATATACGTGTATATATATATATATATACGTGTATATATATATATACGTGTATATATACGTACACGTATATGTATATATATGTATATATGTGTATATGTGTATATATGTGTGTATATGTATATATATGTATCTGTATATGTATATGTATATATACATATGTATATATATACAAATGTATATTTACATATTTATATGTATATATGTATGACATGACACGCATGACAGAGGTGAAACGATGGCGCCGTTGTACGTGGCAGGTCGTCTCTCACTCGCCGTACTTTTCGTTATTCTGTTGTTTTTAAGTGAAGTCAAGGCACTATTGGTGTATGATCGCCAAACGTTATTAGATCTAAGGCCATTTATCCACAGTGTGGCTGCTTTTAATACATGGGAACATAAAATTCCACCCCAACTTCTGTCGGGTATTCCAGCTCACCTGTGCCGGGCTCCGGCGCTTCCCCACCGGCGGAAACGTCATCACCGCCGCGGCAAACGTGGTGGACGCCTGGTGAGGCTGAAAGCCTTCTTGTTACGGCGCAACGTTTCCCAGCCAGTTCCTGAAGTGTTTCCTGGCCTATTTCTACCTTGGCGTTTTCTGGAGCCGGTGGATGCTTGCCTGGTTCGTGTTGTTGGTGAGGATGTCCCCCGACGTCAGCATCCCTGCCCCCCCCGGCTCAGCAGGTGTGGAGTGAACCCACTGAACCTGACACAGCTGAGTCGAACCCTCCCTCAGCGCGACAACCCCGCTCCAACTCCAGCCAGGATCGGCTTAGTGAACGCCAGATCGTTGGCCAATAAATCTTTTATCCTGAGGGATTTCTTCAGCTCCCATAACCTGGACTTCCTCTGTATTACAGAGACTTGGCTGAGTGAAGTTGAGTCAGCTGCTCTGTCAGAGCTTTTACCAACAGGCTGCTCTTATTTTATCTCCCCACGATCATCGGGCCGAGGAGGAGGATCTGCAGCCTTGTTTAAAGATGTTTTTAGTTGTAAACAGTGTTTTAAACAGCGTCACTTCACCAGCTTTGAGCTGACCTGCTTTGAAGTGGGCCGCTCTGACCCGACATTCTGTGCTGTCATCTACCGTGCTCCCAAACATAATAAGGATTTTATTAGTGACTTTTCAGATTTTCTTTCTGAAATAGTGACTGGATATGACCATCTTGTTATTATGGGTGATTTGAACATCCACGTTTGTTGCCCAGACAAACCTCTGGTAAAATAATTTTTAATTCTCATTGACTCTTTTAATCTGGTGCATTCTGTGTCTGGTCCTACACACAATAAAGGTCACACTCTAGATCTTGTGCTCTCTTTGGGATCACCTGTGTCTAATCTGGAAATTCATGATTCTATAATCTCTGATCATATGCCTATAACATTCCAGACTGTTCTCACATATGTTCCTGTTAAAACTCGCACTCCTGCTCAGAGCTGTCGGATTATTAACCCCTCCACTGCTGGCCAGTTCACTGAGGTTTTCTGCCAGCTCTGTCCACCTGCCTCAACTGATGCTGAGGATCTGAGTTCTTGGCTCCATTCATCCTGTCTGACTGTGTTGGATACTGTGGCTCCTTTAAAGACCAAACAGCCTGGATTTAAACATGAGCCATGGCTTCAGAACAGAACGGCTCGAGCTGTCAGACAGGAATGTCGCAGAGCGGAACGCAGGTGGAGAAAGGACAAGCTGCAGGTGTCCCTTCAAATTTTTAAAGACTGTTGGCGCAATTACCAGGACACAGTTAAAGCAGCCAAAAAGGACTATTTTTCTAACTTGATTTTATCCCACAGCCACAACCCACGTGTTCTTTTTAGTACCATTGACTATTTTCTTAATTCTCCACAGACACCTGGTTTTGAATCATCTACTCAGTTGTGCAATAATTTTATGCAGTTTTTTATTGATAAGGTCACCTCTATAAGGGCTTCCATCTTATGCCCAAATTTTGACCCCTCTGTGTGTGTCCCCTGCTCTGCTGCTTTCAATCAGTTTGAGCTGGTGACTGTGTCATTTTTAGAGGACATGGTCACTCAGATTAAGCCTTCTGGTTCTCCATATGATGCTCTTCCACCATGCTTTCTTAAAGAGGTTTTCCCTTGTTTTAAACACTTGGTTCTTGACCTTTTTAACAGTAGTTTGTTATCTGGAGTAGTCCCTGCTAATTTTAAACATGCTGTTGTGCAGCCCCTATTAAAAAAAACCTGATCTCGATCCCACTGTGTTGGGGAATTTTAGATCATGCTATCCTTGAGTTATTCCAATCTGGCTTCAAATCTCTCCATAGCACTGAAACTGCTCTACTGAAGGTTTTTAATGACATTTTCATATCCACAGACGCAGGTGATTCTGTGCTGCTTGTCCTATTGGACCTTACATCTGCTTTTGACACCATCGACCACAACATCCTCATTTCTAGACTGGAGCAGTGGGTGGGCATCACAGGGTCAGCCCTTAAATGGTTTGGGTCCTACCTCTCTGACAGAACCTTCTGTGTCAATATCAAAGATTTTAGTTCGGCATCGACAGCGCTCCAGTGGGGGGTACCGCAGGGGTCCATCCTTGGTCCCCTTCTCTTTTCTTTATACCTGCTGCCACTAGGTGCTATCTTCCGCAAACACGACATACCCTTTCATTTCTATGCCGATGATTGCCAAATTTACTTCCCCCTGAGGCACAGAGGCACACGCTCTATTCAGCCTCTTCTTGACTGCCTGGCTGACATCCGGGACTGGATGGCTTTAAACTTCTTAAGCTTCAATGAGAAGAAGTCTGAAGTCATGCTGTTCCATCCCAGTGGCTCACTCATGAACCATGACATCGACCTTTTCTCTCTAGCCCCGCTAGAGAAACAAAAGGTCACTAATCTGGGGGTGATAATGGACCCGTCCTTAAAACTCAACAGTCACGTAAACATGATGGTCAAATCCTGTTTTTTTCAGCTGAGACGGCTGTCTAAGCTGAAGCCTATACTCTCCAAAAAGAACCTTGAGACAGTGATCCACGCCTTCATAACATCTAGGCTTGATTACTGCAATTCACTTCTGTTTGGAATCAGTCAATCCTCCATTGCTCGTCTACAACTGGTCCAAAATGCTGCAGCTCGATTTTTAACTGGTACAAGCTATAGAGAGCACATCACGCCAGTTTTGGCCTTCCTGCACTGGCTACCCATTCACCTTCGGATCCATTTCAAAATTCTCATGTATGTTTTTAAATCACTGAACAGTTCCGCCCCATCCTATCTCACTGATCTTCTGCAGCCATATGTCCCACCACGCTCTCTGAGGTCAGCAGACCAGATGCTTCTCTCAGTCCCAGAAACCTGTCGTAAGCTCAGAGGTGACAGGGCTTTCTCTGTTGCAGGTCCACGACTGTGGAATGAGTTGCCACTGAGTGTCCGGCAGGCTCCCACACTCAGTCTTTAAGTCTCGCTTGAAGACCCACTTCTATTCGCTTGCCTTTAACACGGTGAGATTTGTTTTGGTCCGGTCTGTTCTCTACTCTGTTGGCCATTTTAGTTAGCTTCTGCTGCTATTTGTATCTGTATTTCTATTTTATGTTTTCCTGTCTGCTGTGCATGTTTGGTTCTTTTGTACAGCACTTTGGTTGGCCTTGTTGCTGTTTTAAGTGCTATATAAATAAATTGGTATGGTATATATGTATATGTATGTATGTGTATATATATATGTATGTGTATAAGTATATATATATGTGTATATATATATGTATGTGTATATGTATATATATATGTGTATATATATATGTATGTGCATATATATATCTGTGTATATGTATGTTCATATATATATATATATATA